GCAACCTACTAGCGATGGCCTCCAACCTACTAGCGATGGCCTCCAACATAAGCCTTCAATGACAGCATGTGCCTGTTGTATCCTTTTTGTCCAGTATATAACTCCTGCTCGAACTCCTAAACGGTTGGCTAGAATGCCATTGCCCAAATAAACCTGACATGTCACTCCCCCCGTGGCCTGCAATGGAGTAAGCTTGTGTTGGGGGTCACAAGAAAAGGTCCCACCGAACCTGTTCCAGATTCTGTTCCAAAAGTTCCTGTTACATGAATGCATGAAGGATTCTGATTTTGCATGATCAAAGGAATCTACACCCGTGAATCGCGGGTTTCCTCTTTAAATCAAAGAACATCTCAGGTTTCATGTCAATCCTTTCCCTAGGGCTCCAAGTACCTTCTGAGAGGGTGTTTGTGACAGCTTTTGTGGGTCAGGCTCATCACAGCCGATGTCAAACGGACCTCTTTCACCGAACAGAACCCAAACGGAAACTTCTTAGTCATGAACCAGGAACAAGAAGCTACTAGTTACTAGTAGCAAAGGGCATTGCTACTAGGAGCAATGATACTAGGAAAAAGGGGCATCGCTGGTCCGAGGGTCTGTCTAGGCATTCGGCCACGTGATTGTAGGCCACCTCAGTCACTGCGGTCGAAAAAATGGCATCATGGAAGGACCGGTTACAAAGTGCTACAGGGCAAATACCAGGTCTGCCGGGATTCAAACCATGTTTGATCGAAGACTTTCACCGCCTTTTGTGACCACCTAGCGCACAGTGGCCACAAGTCGATTCAAGGGAGATCTGAAGGGACTCGTGCACAAGACCTGGAAAACCTGGACCTGGCAGTATTCTGGAGATGACAAGTATCTGAAAACGTCTGACATGGCAACCGAAAACATCCGAAAACGCCCGGTCTTCTGGGACGGACCCGACAGAGGCACCCAGACGGAGTCACCCGACGAAGACAAAGAAAAAGACAAGCAAGAAACATGGAAGAACGGATTAATGTATAGTAATTATATACATTAATATAGTGTCCTTCTACCCTTTTCTATCCCCTCTCTCAATCTCCTATTCTCGATCTGATCAAAGTCTCAAACATGCTCAAAGCACTGCTCAACACATAGAGTTTGTGTTCCTGTCAGCGCAAACTTGCATGTTCGCACGCCAAAACACATCGGACAACAACGTTGGACCGACGCATTGCACCGACGCATTGCAGTCCCAGCCGCAGAGCGGTCATTCACGTAGCCCAAGATGCACTTGGTCTGGCGATCGAAGTCCTGGTCGAACAAGTCCTCCCCACAGGTTGGGATCACACCTGAGGGGTTGCGAGACTCTCTTCAAACATATGTTTCAGTTTATTCCTCCTTTTGACCAGTGAAGTCTGCGGAATCTCTTCGACCACGGTACACTTTTGTTCGCCTTTTTCAGCCCAGTGCAACGACGCAGATGCTGTCATTGTTTGGTCCACTAAAACCCTCTCGGAGTTAGGGATTCTATACTATTCAATATACTGACTGGTAACTTCTGCGATTTAGTGGGATAAGCATGGCGGAGGAATGGAACATTTCAAAATACCACCAGCACCAGCAACAACACACACGCCACCGCTCTTCGCCACCACGCCACCGTTCTTCGGATTGAAACCCAGCGGCCGTTCGTGAGCTTGTACCACGCCGCCACCGATCGCCAGCCGTAGGCCGCAGACTGGAAGAAGTCCTGAAAGAGCAAAAAAAGAAAAACGAGCGGGTCCAGGTGGCGGAGATGGCTTGAAACAAGAAGTCTCCATCCACTTATCCATTTACATGGTCAATGGATGGATATCTACTTTAAACTGGTCTTGAATACTCAATAAAAAGATTAGACCAACCAAACCACACTCTCATCATACACACTTCAGCCGGTCGATCCTTGCCCATCGCATCCACCAAGGAGGCATAGTTGTTCCTATCGACGCTCCGGTCGCTCAGCGTGCGATGTTCGTCGCGTTTAAGCACCCTCACCGGTGTCCAAAACAGGGCAACCTTGCAACCAACTCGGGTTTGTTTTACTTCAAACATGAGCTTTGATGCAAGCAAAAAGCTCATGCCAAATCAACAACCACACACCGACGACCTGCCACAACACCTGAACAATCCACCGAAATGGCATATGTGCCCACCTTAAAATGGGGCCAGGTGGAGTCTGCAACGGAAACATGTAAGAAACACAGGGCTGCTCTGGCAGTCCGTGTCTGTGTGTGTGTGGGGCCGGGGAGGTGGGAAACCCAACAAAATCCAAAGCCTTGATACACCAATATCGGATGTGGGGCAAATCCAATGGAGTTACCCCCAAATGTCTTTCGCATCGGCTCTGGTTTCAAGGGTATAGACAGACCCAATAAATGCTTGCTGGTATTTACATGTATTTACGGATGGTCTGAGTACTTACTCGCGTCATATCAAGCCGGGCTTGAAGAATTCAGAGATGGCCCACTGAAACCAACGACCCCTCGTTGCTCTGGCCCACTTCTCCGATGGTTTCTCTTCTGCATCAACGGGGTCGTGTGCTGTCTTTGTACTTAATTATGTGTGATTCTTGCTGGCATGCGCCATGTACAGAATCCACTGCGCTAAAATTGTCGCCACTCACCTCAAACCAGTGAATCAACTCACAGTCCACTGATATGGCACGGCACTTTGTGAAGACTACAAAACTGTACCAATTAGGATATCCACGGAACCTGTTTCGAAAATCTCCCAAGTCCCCGTCGAGCGTCTCGCTGCCGAAGAGAGTGTCCATATCTCGACCTGGTGACGCAGGGAGCGCGAGATGCATGTGGACTGTACCTTTTCACCCCTTGAAGACCAGCAGAAGTGGCACAGCTCTATGGAGTGTACGTGATTTGAAGATACTTAAGTTTTCCGTTCGCTTTGCCCGGTGAAAGAGGAGATCCACTTCTTCCATCCGCTCAGCAAGAAGTTGGGAAGACGGGATCATAAAAACTCAGACGAGGCTCAGTCTTGGAGTTTGGGGAATGAACATCTCCCAAAGACTACCTTCAAATCGGCTTGAAACAGCACTCAGGAGACTCCAAGTGGTAAATGCTTGTCCATTGCATGTACCCCATCTTTGTGAGGACTTACTCCAGATTAGTCGTGATTCTACGAGTATGGGGGATGGCCAAAAGGGTTCTTCAAAACAATGTGGGATCTCTTGGTGAGAGGCGGTGAAATCCAATGGCCAACCACTCCTCCCACTGGATAGAATCCAAGTGAAACGTCAACGTGAGATTCGCACATCATCTTTTTGTTTTGCCAACAAATGTATACCCAATACGCACGCAAAAGGTGCTTCATTCGGTTGGTCAGTTTTGAGTTTCCAACCAATGCACCCAAGAAAATAACAGTCAGTCATGCCGCATGCAACAAATTAGAACATTACACCAGCATATACACAAGCTGTCGACGCATGGCTGGACGGAACTAGAATGTACAGCCAGCCTGGCCAGCTCACAGCACAGCACCAGCACCCCACCAGCACCAATCGAAAAGGACACACCAAATCAGAATCAACGAACATACACCACAACGTGCCACAACACCTGAACAATCCACGCAAATGGCATATGTGCCAACCTTAAAATGGGGCCAGGTGGAGTCTGCAACGGAAACATGTAAGAAACACAGGGCTGCTCTGGCTGTCTGTGTCTGTGTGTGTAACCCCTGGAATCAAAGGGAACCTTTGGGTTTGGAGCAGGGGGCCACCATGGCCCCAGAGGAGCGGTGGCCAACGAAGACCTCCTCTGGGGTCCGTGCAAACGTACCTGCCCAACTGGTTACCTGTTGTTCTCGCTGTGGTTTGCTTTCATGGTGGTTCATGTGGTTCTGTTACTAATCGCTACTCGCGTTTCGTGTTTTGAGTCTTGCTGGCCTCCAACCTTGCAGTGCTTTGAGTCTTGCTGGCCTCCAACCTTGCAGTAAGGGCCTCCACTTACTGACACCTGTCCTGGTTCCTTAGGTTTTCACTCAGGCCAGCGTGTGGCACCGCTGTCGAGTCAGTACGCATATCCATAAATGTGTGTTTGGCCTCGTGCCAACCCGGGATGAGCCCATAGAGTGCCTCCCGTGGACCCGTCGAACGGGTGTCTGTCCATGTTCCCCGGCTTTGGGAAGGTAGGTGTCCGGAGCGGACAGTAGCTGGCTCATGCCACAAGAACTCAAATGTTTGTCTCATTTTTGGAATTCCAAGCTGGCTCATGCCTTCACGTGACCGCAGCGGTCAAAGCAGCCAGCCATTTCGGCAGGGCACAAGGTGACCATAGCGGTCAAAGCAAGTTTAAGGTTCATTGGAACCTGTCAAGCACTTAGTCCCCCCTCCTCCCCCTTCCCTCCCCCTTTCTTTCTTTGCTTTCTGGGGTTTTCCTGAATGAAATACTCAGGATCTCCCCTCTCTTTCTTTGGTGTGTCCCTGGACGATTGTTCGTAGCTGGGAACACCTTCCTTTCTCTCCTCTCCCTTTCTCTCCCTCTCTCTTTCTTTCCTTCTCTCTTTCCTCTCTTCACCCTTTTCCTTGGGTGTCCCTGGATGCTTTCGTCATAGCTGGGAGCCCTTCCTTTTTGGTGTGTCCTTGGACGCTTGTGTCGTAGCTGGGAGCACCTTTGTCTTCTTCTTTCTTTCCCTATCTTTTCTTTCTCCCCCTCCCCCCTCTTTCCTCGCGCGCGGCGTGTTTACAAGCAAACTAGGCTTCTGCAACAGGTTTTTCTAATGAGGTTTGGACTGTCATCGGTTTGTCCCCGTTCATTTGGTTCCCCTTTCATCGGCCCCCACAGACGTTTTTTCCTTCTTTTCTTTCATGTCTTTCTGTCTTCATGTCTCCTCATCCTCATCCTTTCTTTCTCTTGCGCGTACTATCGTCCGGACCTTAGTTTGCACACATACACGCACGCGTACTCTACTTACATCGAGGTTCAGGTGGCCCAGGTTCGTTACAATGAGGTTTGGTTCATCGGTTGTCCCTCTTCACTTGGTTCTTCTTCAACGGCAACCACACACACACACACCTTTGTCTGTCTCGTCCTTTTCATTTTCATCTGTCCCTTTTGCGTGCACATGTGCCTTGTCTCGTTTCCGGGCAGGATGGAGGCCACACATGCCCCGCTTCGGGGAGGCGTGTGTGTGTGTGTGTGTGTGCAACCCTTGGAATCAAAGGGAACCTTTAGGTTTGGAGCAGGGGGCCACCGAGGCCCCAGAGGAGCGGTGGCCAACGAAGACCTCCTCTGGGGTCCGTGCAAACGTACCTGCCAACTGTTTACCTGTTGTTCTCGCTGTGGTTTGCTTTCATGGTGGTTCATGTGGTTCTGTTACTAATCGCTACTCGCGTTTCGTGTTTTGAGTCTTGCTGGCCTCCAACCTTGCAGTGTTTTGAGTCTTGCTGGCCTCCAACCTTGCAGTAAGGGCCTCCATTTACTGACACCTGTCTTGGTTCGTTAGGTTTTCACTCAGGCCGGCGTGTGGCACCGCTGTCGAGTCAGTATGCATATCCATAAGTGTGTGGGGTGGGGGAGGTGGCAACCCAACAAAATCCAAAGCCTTGATACACCAAGACCCTGTCTCCAAAACGCACACAACCAGCTCACACCCTGTCGCGACAGCGCACACAGCCAGCTTTCAAACACCAGCAGCGGTACAAGCCGACACCCTGTCTCGAAAGCGCACGCAGCCACCTCATTCTTATTTGAAGTAAGACCCCCATAGCTATGGCTATCCGGGGAGAGCAACATGCTGATCATAGAGGTGGATGACAGGATTTGTGGGTCCAGAGTCAAGATTATTTGGTGCCATCCACCTCTGTGACTCTATGACCTCTCTCAAATCGAAGCTGCCGTTGTATGGCCAGTTGTTCGGAATCCTTGGCTGCCATAGGAGAAGGCTCAAATCGTCGATGAGCATTGATAAGCAACAAGTTCACCAGAGCACCAAACACTCAATGAGCTCCAAGGAACAAACAAATGAGAACCCCCAAGGAACCCGAGATGAACCCAGAGAAGCTACCCATCCAACCTGTACCTGCATGTGGAAGAAAACACATGGGATGCACATGGATACACTTGCATCTCAATAGAAGGAAGCAGTTGGAAACCATAGTGTATAGTAAAACAAAATGTAAAGCAGCTTCGCTGATTAAAGCTTGCAATTACGTGGCTGTGGGTCACACTAAAAGGACTTACAGTTGGAACGATATGTGTTGAACACTCATCCTGTAAGAACTTGATGACTTTCTGGGCCACAGGTAGTTGTGAATAGTTGTTCCTACGTCAATTTGTGAGAAAGGTAGATAGATGTTCAGAAATGTATCCATGTAGTGGAAACACATGTACATGTCATCGTTCTTCGTGCCGAAGAAAAGCGTGTTCATCTCGCCCGGCCAAGGCTCATGTGGATCATGCCAGCGCCTGACGAGGACAAAGGTTGCTTGGAGACTGGTTGCCCAACTATCAGGTAACCTGTTAACCAGCAGTAACTTTGATCGAGTGGGTCAGTACAGAAACAACTGAACATGTCTATAAAGATTCTAAAAGCAAACTGAAACGCCTCCGCAAAACTTTGAGTCGTCTTAAACCATGCAGGTTCTTCCAACCATGTGCAAATGTTTAACTTCTTAGCGCAAAGTAAACCTGTACTCAACAAAAACTACTATAAGGCTATATACTAACTATATAACTATAAGTAAATTGCCCAAAACACGCCAATCGTAGGCGTGCAAACAACAGCCTCATCGAGTTGACGTGAATGAACACCATCGGTTTTCTGCTGGATTTGTCAAGCCATTTCAACAGCAGTTGGATAAACATCTCCAGCAGAAGCTGCCAAACTGAAGCTGTCTTCGCCGCTACTCTGATACACCAGATACAACTGCTCAATATAGTATAGACTCAATATATAGAGATTCATCCATCCATGTTTACAGCTGCTGGTTTCACCCCGTGTTCAGAGCTACGATGTCTTTCCACACCTCCATCGCGAGGTTGGTAAACCGTGGAGAAATACGCTGTCTCATAGGTGACCTGAACGTTGCCAGAAACGGGCGTGGCATCCCATGATCCATACAGGGAGACCCTCCACAGTTCCATTCTGTTCCGTTCAGAGAAATCTCTAAAGGGCTTTCCCATCGACATCCCAAACCCACGTGCTATGACCCGATCGAGTCCTGGGAATCGTAGGAGAGGTGGGAAAAACACACCGGAAGGAACACCTCGTCGGGTTGGTCGTGTCGAGCGATCCGTGTTCTGTGCCGCCCGAGCGATCGCTGAAAAAAGACTTTAAGGAACCAACCTACTTGCGATGGCGTCCAACCTAGTGCTGAAAAGGAAGCCAAAATGCCCACACCGTGAGAAGTGGCACACCCACACAGGTGAGAGGAAACCCAAAGCCTCCCCCCGCCTGAGCCAGCAACTTGTGAATGGCATCCTTGGATCGCAGGTGACTGGGAAGTCATGTTCCAGGGTCGTCCTCTCCAAAGGACGCCAAAGGAGGCAAGTAAGAGGTCCTATTGATCTGTACCTTTCATGTTGAGTGTTTGGAACTGGTTGGACATTCTGAAAGCGCCGAGTGAAACTTGCAGCGAGTCTTACGGTGCACCCCCGTCACCAAGCACGGTGAAAAGTCAGCACAAAATTCGCAGAATTTGGCTATCACAGAATCTCAGAATCCCTTGTTGCTCAGAATTCCAAGGGTACTTAACTATACTATATAGCCAAAGTGGCAAGAGAATAGACCGTAATCTCCGAACCAAAGCTTGATCTAGATTCTAGGTTGAAACATTGAAACTCAAAAGAGATGGCTTCTGGCAGGGATGTTTGCTTTGCGGGGGCCGGGGTGCAAAGATATGTTGGACAAGTCAGGAAATAAGACCAAATATATGACAAATTCATGGAGCCCTCAATGATTACTTTCACAAGAAGACCTGATGCACTTCAGGAAAAACTATTGAAAACCAAGAAAACATCATATATGTAAAAGGGGACCTCCAGGTCAAATATGTAAAAACATAAATTACAGTATGATATTGTATGATCATAGCAGTGCCAAGAGGCTCGGTCGTTGCACTTGTTGATCTGCGGGTGTGAAAGCATCTCATTCAACGCATTGGTCCACTCCTCGCCGAAATGCAGTGAGGCGTTGAGTGCGAACTCCGCTGTGCCGACCCGGAAGTGGGTTCACGCTGGAAGTGGGAAATGCAAATAAATGTATATATATACGATATATATATATATGTACGAGAACCTGAAAACATCTACTAATCTACTGTAATACAACCATCTCGCTAGTTGGATCCCCGGAAAAAATCTCTTGACAGAATCCGCCTGCGCATTGATGGACAAATCATGGTTCGACATGATGATGACTGCTGCGCAGCAGTTGTGTGTGGGGTCTCGGCAGTGCACTGGTATCATCAGTTGGCAAACACCCTTGAAATCCGTCGATTGTTCCGCGGTTCCGTGTTTTCTTTGGTCTGAGCCTACCAGTACTGGGATAGGTCCGTGAACCTTTGCGAATCTGCGATTTATGAACATCAACGATTCTTTACACAAAAACTTAACAAAAAACACATCTGAAAACTTTGGAACATTTGTGGGATTGTTTGACCACACAGTGACTATGCAGCGACCACAGGTCATAGTTCCTTCCCACCGCACCATTTCATGGACCGCGGTCACCGGTTCGAAGCGGGCTTCTCACGTCGCTCCGTCGCTCCTGCGTGCAGTAGTGGCCGAACTCATACCCCGTTGGACCCACAACGTTTTTGTCCTGGAGATGCTGTGGGAGGCCAGTGAGGATGGTGCACAAACAAAAAGCGCGACATGTGCACGTTGTCCGACTGGATGAGAGCGGTTTGGCGCACGCGAAACATCTGGAAGAGAAGTGGTTTGGCGCCCGTGCCTGGATCTCAGCACATTTTGGCCAGTAGTTGGACTTGCCTAAGACGAGGCAGGAGGGATCCAAGTGAACCAAACACACCTAGACATGACCGTCATTGGAGACCTTTCTTGAATGGACAAGGCAAACATGTTGAGTGGGTTGGATGTTTTTGTTACTGAGGTTCTAGGAATTGTAGGCACTCCAACCTAGTACGCCTAGTATACGTTGGAGGCCATTGCAATTAGGAGTTGGAGGTACTGGTCTATGTTCGCTGAACAAAGCAGCTTTTCCCCACCTTTGGTGAACCACGGAGAGTCCTCACATTTTTGTCGCAAGCAACAAACATACACTTGAACAAAAAGCAGTTCATATCTCTCTCGCTCTCTCTCTCTCTATATATATATGTGTGTGTACTGTAAAGCCTTGAGCATTCTTTGAGCAGTTCATGAACTCTCATGATATCTAAAGCCCCCCATATATATATATAAACAATAAGCTACTAGGAACAAGTGCATCGCTTCTAGCAACAAGTGCCGATCTACCAGAAACAAGAAGTTAGTAGAAACACTCCGACGAATCCCACCATCGGTGAGACGGATCAGCTGCTCAGTCTTCTGCGTTTCTCGCCACATGGGGAGGGTCCCCAAACAGGGCATGCAAAATGGGATGACTGGTCGTCTTGGGTGAAAGGAGCAGAACGCGCAACCCTCTTCACAGGCTAAGTCCACATGTTCATGGTGTAATCAGAAAATTCCTCTGTTGCATTAATTGCATGGCTGAGAAGTGGGAAGCTAGTGGATTGGGTATTCACGACAAATCCGATCCATTATCCATACAAATCCAGTGTCAGGTCATCAAATCGTCCCCCCCAGAAATTTGCCGGTCATCCAAGAGGCTGTTGATGCAGATCAAGGTGTCTTGAGACACCTGAGTCACGGTCCACAGCTTGTGATGGTCCACGGCGGGGTGGATGCAAGACATTGGATATAGATTTGCCTTTTACGAAGTTCATATATGGTGCATGGTGTTCCTATATGAGGGCTTTCTCCGCAAGTCCGAAATGGCACACAGGGAGATCGAAATCCCCATAACAAATTAATGGGTTTCAGTGAACTTGTCATTTTACCCTCCCTATTCTAGAACTTTGGAAGCATCTGAACACTGAACATGTTCGGAATCGATCCGAAAACCAACATCGCCTCAGCAATCTGACCGTCTCCACCTCATAACTCCCTATGATCATCGTTTCAGGATCCCCCTTTCACCACCAAGAAAGGCGACCATGCAGGGGTCGTCTTCGATTCTTTGTGCCGGGCTGTTCCACATCCTCAGGGTAGGTAGGAAGAGACCGCCCGACCAACGAACCTGATCCACCAGGACCCGGAGTCGGAGATGACCGGAGACCTTCCTTCGGGTGGAGCATGATCGACCAGTGTGCTCGATCAAGCTCGGATGATGAACAAACTGTTTCTTGTTGGTTTGGTTTAGCTGGGTTTGCTTTGTTTCCTCGGTCAACTTTCTTTTAGATGAACTCCCATCTGTTCATCCGCACTGAGGGGATCTTTTTCTGTGCTATTGCGGTGCCGTAAAATCAAAGAACTCACGGCAAAAAGGTGTTGGAAACTTCGAGATCCAACGATCCGATAGAGTTGGTGAGGAAAAGACCATGACGGTATCTTGGCGCATGTTTTTGAACATCCCTCCACAGAAACACAAGAAGGTCCAGAATAACACAAACATACGCCGCTTTCAAAAAAGCTCCACTGAGAGGAGGACATACGTCACCCCGGCAAGCCCGCATACTTCACAGTGATCATCAAATCTTGAAAGGGTTGGCGAGCAAGTCTCAGAACGTGTGATTGCCTAAACTATGTATATATATATATAAACATGCATGGGAGTGGGTTCCATTCCCAACCCTGAACTGTTTGAGAAAGAATTGTAGAGAACTATAGATACATCAAGTAAAATGGTCCAGTTTGTGTGTACCGTGGTCTGGACACATATCAACCTGCAGACCGAGCAAACCTTCGGTGACGAAATCCCCCACCCTCCCATCGCTCATTGGGTGCTCCCGACGCAGGTCCCCGGAGCTTGAGTAGTTCCTGGCGGAGCTGATCCAAATAATATCCAATGTGAACCGACCAACAAGTGATTTGTTTCGATGTGACTTAGTTCAACTGCGGCTCATCTGAAGGACTGGAGGCAGTTCATGAAACCTGTAGCTACTATGAGTAGAGGTTGGTGGATGTATCATTACAATCCGAAAGAACCCTTGCCTAAAAAGGTAAAAAAGCATCCTGGATCTAAGTCAACTCTGCCTCCGAAGTTGCTTCCCACACCTAACAAGTCTGATAGATCGAGACATCGAACTGAGCCGGTAGGCAAGATTGAAGTACTTCCCAATCTTTTGGACTGTGCCGTCACTGCCACAATGTTTGCGCGGCTCGTGAGCCGAGGTGGAAATAGCTGGTCTAACTCTGGAAATATATTCCGCTCTAACCTTCTGACCCTTGGCCATTATAACCTAGGGGCTGAACAGTGAAGACACACATTGAGAATGGATTTGCTGTCCAACTGAGTCCAACTCCCAACTCCCAAGTAGCCAACTCCCAAACCACCCACGCCTGTTGTCGCCATTGTGGTTGTGGTGGCCGTCCCGCTGGTTGTGGACGCAGGGGTTGTGGTGGATGTCGTCGCGGTGGTCGCGGTCGTAGACACCGGGGTCGTGGTGGGGGCAGTGGTGCCAGAACCCGAGACCACCTGAAGCACAAAAATCCACAAAAATCACAAAAGACAAACAGAAGCAGAAAATGGCAAGATGAGGGGATGGCAGAGATTTCTCCCTAAACAATGCCAGCTGTTCATGTCCCACCAGGTTCTCTGCGTGGTTGAAAAAACTCTATTGTGCTGAACACACCTGATGTTGTGGTCTAACACGGGTTGAGTGGCGCTCTGTGTGGGGGGTAGGGCATGCTTGAGGATCCCCAACATCGACCCGGAACCTCAATGTCCACGCAGTTCCGAAACTCCTCCCCACAGCCGCAGCGAGTGCATCCTGTGCGTGATGTCGCGATGAAACAGTGCCAGGAGTGACCAGGAGAACATTCAGGGTGAGCTCAGTTAGGATAGATTGTATACAAACTTAGACTCTGTAAAGAGTAGTCTCCTCTATACATGGTCCATGTTCAACCCCGCATCAAAGTGCAGCCTGCGCAGCCTACACGCAGCAAAGAGCTTTCTCACAGCAACCAATGGCCCAACAGAAATTGGAAGCAGTCCTCTGGAACACCTAATTGCGATGGCCTCCAACTAGCACTGCCCTCCAACCTAGTAGTTCTGGCCTCCTACTAGCGAATGGGAAGCAGTCCTCCACCCGGACAAGCGGGGAGGTTCTGAAACCAATCCGCTGAATTGTAGCCATTCTGATCCAGGACCTGCACGGCAGCGGACGCACTCGACTGTTGGCAGGGCCTACCGGGCCCGGTAGGACAGGGAGGAGCACGGTATTTTTACAGGTATGTAGTGGGCTAGGTACTGCAGGAGTGCTTGCATCGTAGGGCCAGTGGGTGGTGGTGTGGGATTCATTCTGACTTTGGTTTGCTCGTCGGCAAGAACAAATTGAGTCAAGCAAACAGTTTCATGTCTTGCATGGGGGGCCAAAGGTGTATAATTATGTAGAATGAAATATATAGTTCTTTTTTCATTGCAAAACACTCCAATGTGTCACTGTTCCCCTCTCTAGGATGCAAAACACTCCGATGTGTCACTGTTCCCCAGCAGCTAGGACCTAGGAGTCACTACGTTTGTGACTGACTCACAAGGATTGAAAAAAAACACCTCACCCGACTGCAAAAGGCAGGGAGGAACATGTTTAGTGTGGGAGGCGGCCCAGAGCTGCATTGTAGCTGGGCTTCAAAGCGGCGTCAAAGTCTGCAGTGGCAACCCACAAATATGTTTCGAACACGAATTGTCTTAGAAGTCAGAAAAATAGATGTTTCTACTACTCACAGTTAGATGTAGTTTTCTTAATCCTGCATGCGGTTGAACAGCTGATTGCAACAAACACTCCTTTTGAAGTTACCTTGTCAGAATCCCCTTAGTTTGACTACACATCCTGTATTGGTTTTGTTGAATATGTTATTTAAAGCTCTTTGGATGGTGCTTGGTCCATGCTTGTATGAAAGTCCGGTATAAGCATTTTGGGAGGAGCTAACGAAAAATATCATACTGTGACTGGCCCATCAGTCAGTTGGGAAGACTTTCAGGATGTTACAAAGAGTCTGTTGCTTTCACAAATTCATCACTGAACCCCCGACTCCCTTTGATGTCGCTTCGATTACCTTCAGAATGGAACTCAGAAGGAAACTGGAAAGGCAAGGATGTCCCTCTCATCTTTTGCCCTTTTCGTGTCTATTGTATCCTTTTGTTTAAGCAATTCTTGGACAACACCTCTCAATTGTTTGATAGACTGGGTTTATACAAATCAAAATTCAACATTAGTCACATTAAAATACTTGACAAATGCAATGCACTGGAAAAATTATTAGCAGTGTAGGAGCTGTTGCGCCCTGCTTCGCGAGCCAGGAACCGGGCGGTCCTCTTTCACACTCGATCGGATGGACCACACTGGTTGGTGATCAAACTGCACAACCATCCAGTCCAAACTAGGCCCTGAGGACGTTGGCAATCATCACGTATCTGAAAAAACTCTCATGGATAGGATGTTGGCAGAATGGAAACACTGGTCTCTAGACTCTAGTCACAAGAAAAACACGTCGCGCTCGGCGTGGGCCTCAGCCTATGCAGAATCTGCGACATGGACGCAAACACTGAACTCCCGAAAGCAAAGCTCACGCAAGCAGCTTGGCAAAGTGATGCTGTCCAAGGAACTAGGGTCAAAGGCACGACCAAAGGTTAAAGTCTGCAGGCTGCTTGGCAGAAAGACGCCTTCCAAGCTCTGGTTGAATCTGTGGCCGAAGGTCAAAGTCTGCAGGCTGCTTGGCAAAATGACACCTTCCAAGCTCTGGTCAAACTCAAAGCCGAAGGTCAAAGTTTGCAAGCTGTTTGGCAAAGTGACACCTGCCAAGCTCTGGTTGAACTGGTGGTCGAAGGTCAAAGTCTGAAAACAGCTTGGCAAGGTGACACCTGCCAAGCTCTGGTTGAACTGGAGGCCAAAGGTCAAAGTCTGCAGGCTGCTTGGCAAGGTGACAGCGGCCAAGCTCTGGTTGAACTGGTGGCCAAAGGTCAAAGTCTGCAGGCTGCTTGGCAAAATGACACCTGCCAAGCTCTGGTTGAATCTGTGGCCGAAGGTCAAAGTCTGCAAACAGGTTGGCAAGGTGACACCTGACAAGCTCTG